TTGGACAATTGCACTCATCTCACATGCTAGTAAGGTCATGTTTAAAATCTTGCATGCTAGGCTTCAGCATTATATGAACCAAGGATCTCCAGATGTCCAGGCTGGGTTTATAATTTTTTTATTTTTTTATTTTTTTCCATTTATTTTTATTAGTTGGAGGCTAATTACTTTACATCATTGCAGTGGTTTTTGTCATACATTGAAATGAATTAGCCATGGATTTACATGTATGAGGGACCAGAGATCAAATTGTCAATATTTGCTGCGTCATAGAAAAAGCAAGGGAATTCCAGAAAACCTCTGTTTCATTGACTATGTTAAAGCCTTTGACTGTGTGGGTCATAACAAACTGGAAAATTCTTAAAAAGATGGGAATAGCAGACCATCTTACCTGTCTCCTGAGGAACCTGTATGCAGGTCAAGAAGCAACAGTTAGGACCCCGTATGGAACAACTGACTGGCTCAAGATTGAGGAAGGAGTACAACAGGGCTGTCTGCTGTCTCCCTGTTTGTTTAACCCAAATGCTGAGCACATCAGAGAAATGCCTGGCTGAATGAGTTGCAAACTAGGGTCAAGAGAAACATCAATAACCTCAGATATGCAGATAATACCACTCTAACTGCAGAAAGTGAAGAGGAACTAAAGAGCCTCTTGATGAGGGTGAAGGAGGAGAGTGAAAGAGTCAGCTTAAAACTAAATATTAAAAAAACTAAGATCACGGCATCTGGCCCCGTTACTTCATGGCAAATAGAGGGGGATAAGGTGGAAGTAGTGACAGATTTCCTCTTCTTGGGCTCTAAAATCACTGCAGATGGTGACTGCAGCCATGAAATCAGAAGATGATTGCTTCTTGGCAGGGAAGCTATGACAAACTTAGACAATGTGTTGAAAAGCAGAGACATTACTCTGCCGACAAAGGTCCACATAGTCAAGGCTATGGTCTTCCCAGTGGTCACGTACAATTGTGAGAACTGGACTGTAAAGAAGGCGGAATGCCAAAGAATTGATGCCTTCAAACTATGCTACTGAAGAGGACTCTGCTGAAGCTGAAACTACAGTGATTTGGTCATCTGATACAAACCGCCAACTCTTTGGAAAAGTCCCTGGTGCTAGGAAAGATTGAGGGCAGAAGGAGAAGAGGGTGTCGGAGGATGAGATGGCTGGATGGCATCACCAATGCAATGAACATGAACTTGGGCAAACTTTGGGAGATGGTGAGGGAGATAGAGAGGCCTGGCATGCTGGCAGGCTGTAGTTCATGGGGTCTCATAGAGTCAGACACGACTGGGTGACTGAACAACAGCAATACCAATTTGTCTTAAAAACATTAACTCATTTAAGAGGTAACTCTCCCCAAATTTCATTTGCTAAACACACTGTAAGTTTACTTTCCACTCGTATAAAAAGCAGGCTAGGGAGCAAAGGACCAAGGACCTCTATTCCTTGCAGTCATTCAGTGACCTAGACAGATTAAGTAAGGCTGCGCCAGTCTCCATACACAGCTTCTGAGGGAGACCTGGACGCCAGAACCCAGGCAGCAAATACAAGAGAGCAGAGCAGGGGTTGGCCTGGTTTTGTAGACATAGTTTTATTGCACCACAGTCAGACCCATTGTTGACATATTGCCACAGCTGTTTTCACACTACAAGGGCAGAGTTGAATTGTTGTGGAGGAGGCTGTGTAGCTCACAAGGCCTAATAAAGTTACCATCTGGCCCTTTGCAGAAAAAGGCTGCCAACCTCTATGGTGGAGGACTGGCAACCGAAACAGGCCAGGCCCAGAAATGGCATCGTGGGCCAGAACATAGTCACGTAAACACGGCCCCTCAACTGTAAGGGAGGCTGCAGTTGTGCTCTCAGTGGGGCCCAAAAAACAAAGAAAAGAGACAGAGTTATCATCTGGCCTGTCTCTGCCACAAATACCCTCCAGGCCCTGGTAACCTTAAATTCAACATTTATGGGTTCCTCTGCTTTGTTAAACTTCAGATCCATATCTCTAGCAGTGTGCCAGACTTCCCAAACAGAACTTGATCCTTTTTTGCCGTCCCCTCCCCAAATCTGCTTCTTCTTCTGAGGTTCATAATTCAGTAAATAGTTCATAGTTCACTCAAGCATGTAAACTCTAACCTTCCCAATCCCTCCACCCCGTAACCATGCTCTTCCTGTGCATATAAATTTATGTCTCCCAAATCTTACCGCCCCCCTGCCCTATATTCTACCACAGCTCTCGTGTATTAGCCTTTTAATTTGCTGCAAGTTAAGCACCCACAAAGCTTGCACACAATTGTCTGAGCCTGCTTCTTTAAAGTCTAGTTGATCTAAATCACTCCCCTGTGTGAGCTTTCTTGCTGTCCCCAAAAGTCACAGACAGATCACCTGAAGCCCCCATCTCTGCCACGGCAGGGCTGAGAGGGGAGCTGTGGTTTAGGAGCCCTCAGAGACTCCATACTCCACTCCCCCATACTTTGCAGAATAAAGCTCTAGGAAGCACAAAGAAAATTCTTTGCATAGCAGAAACTCTTAAACCAGTACAGAGGGTGCAGCCCCCTTTCACACACTCTCAGAGAAAAATCTTGCGGTGGGCTGAGCAGTTTTGCTCTTCAGGGACATGGTCTTGTATCTCATCACAGGCTCTCTGCCTCCTTGACTCTCCATTTCAAATTGTCTTTTCGTCAGAAATTCCTAATGCCCAAATCTTGAGAGCAGGACCTTTCCACAGGGGCTTCTCCTCCAGGACAAAGTCCCTCCCAAAGACCTCAGAAGATCACCATGTCCATTCCCTTTCTCTCCTTCTCATGACACAGCAGCCTCTTTGGGGGACGAAGAGAAGCCAAGTGGGGCTGAGTTCCTCCTGGGGATCGTGAGTTTGGTCCCTTGGGCTGCCTGGGTGATGACCCAGGTGATGACCCTGCCCAGGTGTGACTCCCCCAGTCACCCTCCACCACTATCCTGTGTTTCCCTGTAACAATCTTATCTTATATGTGTTCATGGCCTGTCTCCCCCACTAGAAAGCAAGGTACCAAATCAGAGTGGTGACATTGTCTCTCTTTTCTGTTGTTTCCCCAGCATCTTGAAAAGTGTCTGGCTTAGCCTTGGTGCTCAGTAAGTTTTTGCCAAATGAATGAAGTAGCTAGTGACCTTCAAATGACCTCTTGCTTTCCCCACAAAAATCGGGCCCGCCCCCCAAGACACCATACCTCCCTCAGTTGCTCTGTCCCAGTTTCAAAGACTGTCTCCTCCCAGAGGACATCTACGGTTGAGTCCCTACCTGGAACTCTCCATCTAAGCAAATGAGCTCCACTTAACCCCTGTTCAGAGAAAAGCATTGGCCTTCCTTGGCTTCTGCCTCCCTTTCCTCCAGGACATCAGCAAACCCTATTGGGACCACCTCCAAGGTGTATGCTGACCTCTTGCCATGGTCCCACACTACCACCAACTCTCCTGGGCAGCTAAATCAGCCTCCCCCTGGGGCTTCCTGCCTCTCTTGCAGGGTGGCCTTTTGAAAGTGTAATTCAGCCTTCTGCTCGCCACCCAAGTGCTCATCAAATCCAAGTGCTCATCAAACCACAGAGCCCATGATGCCCCAGTCATCATCACTAGCTCACCTCCTTCCTCCCAGTTCCAAGGCCTTGGGGCTCTTCACTGCTCCACAGGCTCATCCAGAATTTCTGCCCCAGAGCCTCTTCACCTGCAGCTGCCCTGCCCCAAACCTTCTTCCCCACATAACCCTGTGGCTCACTTTCTCCCGTTAGGGTTCATCTCAAACATTTCATCAGCATTCTATCCGATAAGGATAGAATAGGATAGTTATACAAGTAGTTGTAGAAGTCCCAATAGGAGACTATAGATAGAAAAGGAAACCTAGGAAATTTTGGGAGGTCATTGTAAGATAGCTCAAGAAAGTTATTGGAACATTATTCAGTGAAGCAAGCTTGCTTAATTATAAAACCATAAACAAAACCACAAGATATGCCCCAGGCCACTAGGTGGAAAACGTCACTTTTCTACTAATAATCCTAGTTTGATCTCATAGGGTCAGACAATTTCCTGCCTAACATGAAGGAGGAGCTAGTGAAGGAGGAGCTAATTCTGTATGCCTTATGCCTGCATCTACGTCTACCTGAAGAAGGAAGTCTTTTCCCCTCTCCCCTTTTTTCCATTATAAATTGTAGCCCACTCAATCCTTGGGGCAGAGTTCCCTCACCTGCCCACTTGCATCTCTTACAAGTGTCCTATATTAATAAATCTATTTCTTGATTATCCCTTTGCCTCTTGCTGAATTCCTTCTGTGCTGAGACACAAAGAACCTGAGCCTCAGTGAGTCCAGACACTGGGTGAGTGATTCGAATTAAAAGATTGTGGGTTCAAGTCCCTGGGTTCTGATTGGGTTCGAGTCCTGGCCGTGTGGGTTAGAGTCCCAAGCAGAGTTTTGTCAGGGTTCGAGTCCCAGCACATGGATTCAAGTTCCAGTCTGAGGTAAAGAGTTTCACGAGGACTTTCCTGGCTGCTCCGCCCCAGATAGGGCCTCCTGTCTCTTGTTTCCTCACTGCGCCTCCCGGGCCTCAAGATGCACTTCACACTGCTCTGTGTCTGTCCACTGAGTGTTGTCGATAGACAGCACTGTAAGATCCCAGAGCACAGGGACCTGTGACTTAATATGCTGCTGTGCCCCCAGTGTCTAAAACAAGGCTGGCCCCATCTCTAATGCTCAGTAAATATCTGTTGAACGAAAACAAAATGATGACTAAAGGAGGTGGGTCCCTGTGTGTGGGGAGGGCGGGGTGGGGGTGGGGCGTGGATTCAGAGCTCAGGTCAAGGGATCTAGGTCAAGTGCAAAAGGGCCCTAGTCCTCCACCCTCCGTCTTCTGGCATGTTCCGTCTACAGTCCCTGTGCCCCTCCCTCTGACTTTAGGCTCAGTCCTGTGACTGGACAGCAGGCTGTGGAGAGACATGACTTGAGGGCAGGGCTGTGTGTTTCTGTCTCTGCCCTCTGGTCCACCATGAGAACAACTCTGGGCAAGCCTGTAAATGACAAGGGACCCATAGACACGTGTGCAGAGAACATTCTGGGCCAGGTGAGGGAACAGCCAGTGCAAAGGCCTGAAGGCAGGAGCTCGCCTGGTGTGAAGGGACAGCCCAGGGAGGGAGGGATAGCAGCACAGAGGCCACAGAGGCCAGAGCCTGGAGGACATTGCACACCCTTCTGAGACTGGGCCTTTTCATCTGTGAGGTGAGACGCTGAGGTGTGTGTGATTGTCCTAGCGCTGGTAGCAACTGATACAGGAACGTGGCCGAAGCAGAGAGACAGGGACCCAAGGGATGTTGCAGTGATGAGCCCAGGGTGGCCACTGTGGAGGTGGGGAGAAGCGGTGGGATTCTGACGGCTGGGAGATTAGCACTGGAGGGTTTGCATAAGGACTGGAGGAGGGGCTGAGCAATGAGAGAAGGGGAGGCGTTCTGAGCTGAGAAAGCTCGGAGACCCTGCCCAAACCCTTGGCCTCCTGCCCAGAGGACCCCTCTTTCCCTTCCAGCTGTACTAGCCCTTTTTCATTCCTCATACACATTCAATTCTCTCCTGCCTCTGGCCTTTGTCACTTGCTGTTACCACTTTTGCCTTGCTTTGCCTGGCTAATCCTTGTCACTGGGGTCACATCTTAAAATTAAGCACTTTACAGAAACCTTCCCGAGACCCCCACCACCCCTACAGACGAATCTGGCTCTGTTATTTTTTCTCCTCCCACCCTACTCTTTCCTTTCCCAGTTCTCATTGTAATCATGTACACAGTGCTCTGTTTACTAGTTTAACGTCTGTCTCCACTGGATTATGAAAAGCAGAGCCCTTTCCTAGCCAAGTTCTGGAGAGAAGCTGCCTGAATTTAAGTCTTCATTCCTCCCATTTAAACCCATGTGAATGTGGGAAAGCTACTAAACCGTCTGGCCTCAGTTTCCTCCTTGGAAGATTGGCAGCGACTAAGACCCAATAGATCATCAACGTAAAGCACTTAGCTCAGTGCCTGGGACATGAGTCAATAAATGTTAACCACTACATTAGCTATCGTAAGAAGACCGGTATAAGAACTATCGAAAAGCACTTAGTCTGTTTGTATGACTTAACCAGACTTGGCAAGCTCTCTGAGCAGTGTAAACAAGCAGCACTCCAGGTATCGGACTGCCTAGATGAGGCAGGTTTGAAACTGCCTCTTGGCAAACGCACAATTGGGTAAATAAAAGAGATGTATGGCATTTGTTGTTTTTGGTTGCTTAGCATCCAAACCCTGAGCAGATCCCTAGATGGGCAGGAGGCAGGATTCCCCTATGGAAGCCCAGTGGGGCCAAATTCCCTCTCCCAGATCCTGGCAGAAACAGCTTGGCCACTCAACCTGAGCTCTTCTGCCTAGGACCTGGACACTGACTGAGGGTCACAGAGAAGCCGGGGCCATTGAGATGTTTCTCCTCTGATGTTGGGGGCACAGCAGCCAGCACCAAGGGGCAGTGTTGACCATGATGTCAGCAGGCCCATCCTCAGTAGTTCTGCCTGTGGTTCTACCTCCCAGCCTTCCTGCCCAATTCATATACCTGGTTCTCTAGTCTATCTTGTGATTCTACAGCCCACCATCACACTGCCAGAAAATTCGTTTCAGAATGAAGTTTGTTTTCTCTTGTCTACAGCCAGGAATTCTGGCTCGTCTGCCCTCTGAAGAAGCTGAGTATCAACCCTCAGAAAACCTCCATCAATCCTCATCCAGGCTCCACCTTGCACATCACCATGAGCACAAAACTTCACTGGAGTGCTGCAGCCACACGTCAGCCTGCACTCAGAGAACCCGGAAAAGAGGGTAAAGGTGTGGCAGGCTTCTTTCTTAGTACGTCATATCACCCTTCCCCAGTGCAAATGGCAGCGAGGGTGTCCCCAGTTCAGAGCTGTTCCAGAAGAAACAGAGAGAAGCAAAAGGAGCTAAGCCTGGAATACTGAAGTTCTTGGCTCAATAAAAACAGTAACTATGAAGGCGCATTCTCTTCCCATCCAGAGGATGGGCTGGAATGGAGAAGCACAGAGCTCAGAGAGGTAGCAGCTTGCTTCCTGGGCAAGAACATGGAGACACCATCCTCTCAGAATAACCGACATGTATGTACATATAAGGAGACCCAGTGGTGTGGCTTATCTGGGCAAAAAGGCCCGGAGACAGCCCCCTCTCCCAAGTTTACCACAGAAGTGGCTGAGGGTCAGGATGATATGATATAATGACATAAGCTGCTTGGACCATTGGCCATCTCAGTGAATGGTACCAGTTGCAGGCACCAGCAGGGTGACCAGAGACCAGAAAATGATGGTCAATAGGACTAGAACCCCACAGATGTCAGCAGAGAAAATGAAAGTGACCAAGATCAGAAGTCCTCTCCCTACTGACAGCACAAGCTGAAATCCCAGGGAAAAGGTGATGCAGAAACAAAATTGACTGAAGCAAACCCTGAATTCTTTAAGAAAATGCTTCCACACCATGCAACATGGAAAATTCAGATGGCAATTAAAGTCAGTTGTGGAAAATAAAAATGTTTACACAGGTCACTTTGTGGCCTGGGAAGTTTGTACCTTCTACTCAAACATCCCACCCCAAGAAAACCCACCACCGTCATTGACCAAAAAAGCAAAGGATTGTTGGTCTGGAGAGCTCTCAGGAGAGCTGTGGAGAGAGAGACATTAGTAGGACTTTGAAGCTTTGGCCAACGATTTCCTTTTATTAGCACCCACTGAGTGTCAGGTTCCACGCTAAATACTATATATGCTATTTCTGAGACAGATGGGAAATTACTCCCATTCTACAGAGGAAGAAACTTCAACAGAGGTATTGAAATGCATTGGGCTGATTTTCCACAAGACAGCTGAAATCATGATGGCTGAAAAGACAGGCTCTTTGGGTAATAGGGAATGCTGCTCTGGGGCTTTAAACCAGAAGGTGATATTAGGAGACATGGGAAGACTAGGAGGGACGAGATTAACTAAAATGCGAAGTTCTTGGAGGTGTGGGACGGCCCCTGGTGGATGTAAGAAGAATGGCAGCTCAGGGCTCCAAATCCACCCTGCCAGTGGCTCTAGACGGGAGGGGTGAGCAGAGGGCCCTTGAGGCTACAGGAGGTGCTGATGCACATCTTCTTCTTCCCTTTTCTTTTAACAATTTATTTATTTTTAATTGGAGGGTAATCGCTTTTCAATATTGTGTTGATTTCTGCCAAACACCAGCATGAATCAGCTATAAGGATACATATGTCCCCTCTTTCCTGAAGCTCCTTCCCACCTCCCACCCTGTCCCACACCTCTGTATGAGCTCCCTGAGTCATACAGGATCAAATTCCCACCGCTATCTATTTTACACATGGTAATGCATGTTTCCATGATACTCTCCCAATTCATCCCATCCTCCCCTTCCCCCATGGTGTCCACAAGTCTGTTCCCTATGTCTGCATCTCCACTGCTGCCCTGCACACAGGTTCAGCAGTACCAATTTTCTAGATTCCATATATGTGCACTAATATATGATATTTGTCTCTTTCTTACTTCACTCTGTATAACAGGCTCTAGGTTCATCCCCGTCATTAGAACTGATTCAAATGTGTTTCTTTTTATGGCTGAGTAATATTCCATCATATATATGTACCACAGCTTCTTTATCTATTCATCTGTCAATGGACATCTTGGTTTCTTCCATGTCGTAGATATTGTAAATAGTGCTGTGATGAACATTGGGGTACATGTGTCCTTTTCAGTTATGGTTCTCTCAGGATATATGCCCAGTAGTTTGTTGCCCAGGGATTGTTGGGTCATATGGTAGTTTTACTCCTAGTTTTTAAAGGAATCTCTATATTGTTCTTCACAGTGGCTCTATCAATTTACATTCTCACCAACAGTGCAAGAGGGTTCCCTTTTATTCACACCTTCTCCAGCATTTACTGTTTGTAAATTTATTGTTGCTGATCAGCATGAGGTGATACCTCATTGTAGTTTTGATTTGCATTTCTGTAATAATGAGCAACGTTGAGCATCTTTTCATGTGTTTATTAGCCACCTGTACATCTTTGGAAATGTCTGTTTAGGTGTTCTGCCCACTTTTGATTGGGTTGTTTGTTTTGCTGGTATTGAACTGCATGAGTTGCTTGTATGTTTTGGAAATTAATCCTTTGTCAGTTGTTTCACTTGCTATTATTTTCCTCATTCTGAGGGTTGTTTCACCTTGTTTATATAATGTCCTTTGCTATATATTTTCCACTACTCTAGAAGGTGGGTCATAGAGGATCTTGCTGTGATTTATGTCAAAGAGTGTTCTGCCTACGTTTTCCTCTAAGAGTTAGGTCTTTAATTCACTTTGAGTTATCTTTGGGTATGGTGTTAAGAAGTGTTCTAATTTCCTTTTTTTTTTTTCCATGTAGCAGTCCAGTTTTCCTAGCACCACTTATTGGAGACTATTTTTCTCAATTGTATATTCTTGCCTCCACTGTAAAAGATAAGGTGCCCATAAGGTGTGAGTGCTTATCTCTGGGCTTTCTATCTTGTTCCATTGGTCTATATTTCTGTTTTTGGATGCACATCTTCTTTGGGGTCTAGATTCAGGACCTCAGTCAAGTGACAGCAGTGGCTATTCCAGGAAGGCATGGTCTGGGGAGGGCAATACGTGCGGACAGAGGAAAGGAAGGAAGGAAGGAACCTTGACTGCGCGATGAGCACGTGCTGAGAAGAGACCCACTGAGAAAAGAAGTGTTCACTTTAGAAATAGGTAAAGAGACACAGGCACGTGGAAACCAAAGGAAAACCACGGTCATCACCTGACGATCAAAGCTGAATTCAACTCAGAAGGAAACTCATAAGACAGAGCAGATTTCTTTATAATGCTGAAGGGGATACAACGGCATAACATAAAAACATAGATATATCAAGAAAATGAAAAGACAACCCATAGAATAGGAGAAAATATTTGCAAATCATATATCTGATAAGGGACTTGTGTCCAGAATATGTAAAAACAAACAAACAAACACCTCTTACAACTCAACAATAAAAAGACAAATTACCCAACTTCAATAT